AGATCTTTGGGTTTATCAAACACATTTCTTCATTTACTTCTGAATATTATATGTCAAATATATTCCATTGATCAACCAACTGTAATTCTTATCCAATACCAGATTGTTTTAATAATTACTACTTTGTGGTATATTTTGAGACCTTGTATTCAAGGACTTTGTGAAGCTGCTTTCCTTCACATTTTTTCCCATTGATTCCCTTGATATTTTTTACCTTTTGGTCCCCAATATGAATTTTGTTATTATTTGTTTAGCACTATAAACTAATTCTTTGGTAATTTTATTGGCATGGTACTGAATAAGTAATTAATTTAGGTAGAATTGTCATGTTTATTATATTGGCTCAGCTGACACATGAGCAATTAAAATTTCTCCATTAGATCTGCCTTTATGAGAAAAGTGTTTCATAATTGTGTTCTTATAGTTCCTGGCTGTGTCTTTGCAGGTAGACTCCCAAGTATTGTATGTTGTCTGCAGTTCTTTAAAATGAAATTTCTCTTTCAGTAGCTTCTTGCTGGATTTTTTTGGTAATAAAAAGAAATGCTGATGATTTGGGTGCGTTTATTTTATATCCTGCAACTTTGCGAAAGTTAATCTTTCAACTAGTTCTTCAGTTGATTCTCTAGGGTTCTCCATCATAATTCCATCTGTAGAAAGTGATAGTTTTGATTCCTTGTCGCCTATTCTTGTTCCTTTAATTTCTTTTTCTTGTTTTATTTTGGTAGCTGGCATTATTTTAGAGTCTTCCCTCACTCAAATCCAATTCAATTACAAGTCATGTCATCATCTCCCTGATGTCATGGTCCTCTTCCAGAATGAAAGACAGACCACAACCACACACAACAATGGTGATAATGGCCATCTTTGCTTCACCTCTGATTTTATGGGAAAGGCTTCTAGTTTATCACTACTGCAGATAATGCTTGCTTTTGGTTTCATAGAAATAATGTTTATCATTTTTAGAAATGTTCCACTTATTCATATGCTTTCTAGTGTTTTTTAAAAATAGGAATGCATGTCATGTTTTGTCAAAAATTTTCCTGCATCTATTGATATAATCATGATTTTTATTATTTTTGATGTGGTCAGTTATACTTATAGTTTTCCTAATATTAAACCAACCATTCTTGGTATAAAGCCAGCCTAGTGATACTGTATGATCCTTGTGATTTATTCTTGTAATCTCCTTGCTAGCATTTTACTTAAAATTTCTGCATCAGTATCTATTAGGGAAATTGGTCTATAGTTGATCTCTTTGTTTTGCTCTCCTTTGTTTAGGAATCAAAACCATATTTGTATTATTGAAGGAATCTGATGGGACTCCTTCCTTGACTGTTCTTTTAAAACAGTTTACGTAATATCACAATTAAATGTTCTTTAAATGTTTGGTAAAATTTGCTTGTAAATACATCTGATCCTGTGGTGGTCCCCCCACCCCAACCTTGGGAGCTCATTTGGGGCTTGCTCAACTTCTTTTTCTAAATTAGGGTTATTTAAGCATTCTATTTCCTCTTCTTTTAATATGACCAATTTGTATTTTGATAAACATTTATTTCATTCAGATTGTTTTATTGCCATATAATAGAGCAAAATAGTTCCTACTATTTTGATTTTATCTTCGTTGGCTGTACATTCACCTTTTCCATTTTTGATACTAATAATTTGGTTTTCTTTTAAAAATCAAATTAGCTATGGCTTACCTATTTATTGTTTTCCCCCATAAAACCAGTCCCTGGCTTTACTTATTAGTTTCATTTTTTTTTTTAAAAACCTTTGTTTTATTAATTTCTTTGATTTTTAGGATTTCCATTTTGGTGCTTAACTGGGGATTTTTTATTCTTTTTCTAGCTTTTTTTTTTTTGTTATATGCCCAATTCATTTATCTGCTCTCTCTCCTTCTCTCCTTTACTTATATAAGCACTTAGACATAAAAATTTTCCCTAAGTACTGGTTTTGCGGCACCTCAAATTTTGGTATGTTGGCTCATTGTTCTCATTATCTTTAATGAAATTATTATTTCTATGATTTATTCTTTGACCCACTCATTCATTAAGATTTCCTTTCCAATTAATTTTAGTGTATGTTTCAAAGACCCATTATTGAATGTACTTATTATGCTCTGAAAAATGTGCATTTAATAATTGTTTTTCTGCACTTCTAGGTGAGGTTTTTATGCCTTAATACATGGTCATTTTTTGTGAAGGTGTCATATACAGCTGATAAAGAAGTTAGATAGACTCCTTTCTATTCCCATTCAATAGTCTCCACTCTGAAGTGGAGGCTATCATTACCTAACTTTTCTTAAATTCTGTTCATCTCCTTAACTTTTTTTATTTTATGGTTACATATATCTAGATCTGAGAAGGGTAAATTGAAGTTCCCTACTAGTATAGTTTCATTTTCTATTTCCTCCTATAATTCATTTAACCTTTCCTTCAAGAATTTGGATGCTATGTCATTTGGTGCACGTTTAGTATTGATATTCATTGTTTCTGGTACCTTTTAGCAAGATGTAGTTATCTCTTTTCATTAGGTCTATTTTTGCTTTTGCTTTGTCTGATATCATGATTGCTGCCTCTGCCTTTTTTATGTCAAATGAACATAATAGATTCTTATTTTGGCTCAGTGTGTGTCTTTCTATTTCAAGTGTGTCTGGTTATAAACAACATATTGTTACATTCTAGTTACTAATCCATTCTGCTATCCTCTTCTATTTCCTGAGCATTCGCATTCATAATTATCCCATAATTCATCCCGTTCACATTCATAATTATGATTACTAACTGTATATCTCTCCATCCTATTCTCTTCTATTTATCCTTTTTACTCTGTTACATCCTCAAAAGTCTGTTTTGCTTCTGACCACTGCCTTCCTTCCTTAATCTACCTTGTCTCTCATCATACTCCACTCCCCCACCCCTTTCCCTTAGCCCCTTCCTCTCCTATTTGCCTGTTGTGTAAGATGAATTTCTCTACTCAGTTGTGTGTGTGTGTGTGTGTGTGTGTGTGTGTGTGTGTGTGTGTGTATTCTTCCCTCTTTGAACTAGTTCAGATAAGTAAGGTTCATTCTATGATGGACAGACTCCAAGGAGGTATTTTACTGTATTGAGTCAAACACTTTCTTGGAATCAATGAATTAGAAGTGGAATCTTTAAATTGTCAACACCTCTGTCAGTTAGGTGAATGTCTATATATGATTAACTGTATAAAACTGTAAAAGCTGGCTTATTCCCTTTTCATGTTTTATCAAGGTTCCCCTCTATGTATGTTCTCATCAAGACTTTAGAAAGATCACAAAGTAGGTGTACGGATTAGTGGCTGTTCATGTATTTTTGGTCCCTTTTTGGGTAAAAGTATCATTCATAATCTTTTCAATTCAATAAACATTTATTAAGCATCATCAGAGATGTTACAGAGATTTCTACATCAGGTGGGTCATTGGGCTTCATAATAACTAACATCCTCTCCAGTCAGTCAGTAAACATCCTGAGTTCAGATCTGGCCTCAGACACTTACTAGCTGTATGACCCTGGACATGTCACTTCACCCTGTTTGCCTCAGTTTCCTCATCTGTAAAATGAGCTGCAGAAGGAAACGGCAAACCACTCCAATATCTCTGCCAAGAAAACCCTGAATGGGATCATGAAGAGTCAAACATGATCGAAAAACAACTCAACAAAAGCAACAACATGAGCACAAATAATAGCAAAAAAACCAGCATCTGTTTTCAAGGAGCAATGTATAATGAGGGACACAATGGTAACAGTGGGAGATGGTATGGTACAGTGGAAATAACATGGTTTGGAGATAGAGGACTTGGGTTCAGAGCCTGGCTCAGCCACTTACTGTCCATTTACTTGGCCAAGTAATTCAATTTCTTTGAACCTCAGCATCCGCCGCTGTGCAAAACAAGGCTTGGACTCAAATGTCCTCCAAGATACTTTCTAGCTCAGGACATATCATCTTATGAGCTAATATTTTTGTAGCTTTAAGATCTATGCAGGGCTTTACTTATGACAAACCTGTGAGGTAGGTACCATTTTACAAATAAACACTAAGACTCAGCAAGGTAACTTGCCTGTGAGCACAAAACCAAGTGTTGGAGCCAGGATTCAAGCCCAGGATGTCTGACTCCAAGTCTGATACTCATCACCTATCACCCTAAGATTCTTTATTCTCATTCTGACTTGGGAAGTTAGGAAGCAGAAAGTGACCATTAGCAACTGGTAGACTCTTACATTTTTAAACTTCCCTTGATATTTTTTTTTCCTTTTCTTTACTGGTCTATCGCTTCCTTCTTTTCTCACTAGCAGAGTCTCTCACCTACCTTTATAGTTCCGTTTCATACTACTCTTCTTGCACTCTCTTCCAGTCAAAGTGTCCTGTCAACATACATCTTATGTCTTCAACCTTCCAGCCTTTCTACAAGTGGTTTTCTAAATGCCTTTTCATCTCCACCTCTTAGAATCACTTCCTTCAAAGTACAGCTGAGTTGTCAACACTTATGAGGACTGTCCTGATCCCCACAGTTATAGACTGCCCTCTCCCATTCTTCAAGTAATTTTGTATATATTTTGTATTTATTTATTTATTCACTCACTCATTTATTTATTTATTTATTTATTCATTCATTCATTCATTTATTTATTTACTTATTCATTTGTTCATTTATTTATTTATGTATATATATCCCCCAAGAGTAGAATGACAGTGCCTTGAGGACAGGTATTATTTTGGTTTTGTATCCCAATATAATTGTTTATTGAATTGAACAGATTTAAATAAGACCCTTTGACACTAGGATGATAATATACTCTTTCTCCTTTAAAAAATGTGATGATTATTGCTAATAAAATGCAAATGCTCTAAAGCCTTATATAAATTATTCCAACTCACTTCCTTTTGAAGAGCACAATTTAATAATTCACCATCAGAGTTTCAGATCTAAAATGCAATATTTTTTCAAAATAATTCAAAACTCATGTCTCATTTTTTGGCAGATATGAATTAGGAGCAGCTTTGTTCATTGGGTGGGCTGGAGCTTCACTTTGCATAATTGGTGGTATTATATTTTGCTTCTCGATATCTGACAATAGCCAAACACCCAGGTAAGAAATGCAGACAAAAATTATCTATTCGAAAAGTCCAGAATTGTTCTAATCCCAGCTCTGTAATTTACTACCTGTGTATGTTACCATAGGCAAATCTCTTAACTTCCCTGGGTCTCAGTTCTAATCATCAGGAAAATGGGGAGGCTTGGGTTTGATGAACTCTAAGTTCCCTTCAATACTTCTGAATCTGTGATACTAGGATTTTAAATTGCATGTGTGAAAAACAAATTGTATATGGTTAATATAATTCTCAAAGAAAAACTTTGCAGAATTAATTTTGGAAAGGTTTCATATAAGGAGACAAGAATTTTAATAGATTTGCTTGGCAGGGGCACCCTCAGTAAATCATACAATATACTTGAAACTTCATTTGAAGACTGTGTTCCTGAAAATTATATATATTCAGTTGTGTGCTGTGTAAACCTTTAAGAACAGTATTGATACAAAGGTTACTATATGTTAACATACAAAAATAGTCTTAAGAGTGCATACACAGTGAAGAAATGTCCCTACAGGGATAGGTTCTGGTACTGAACTCTCTATCCCTGACCTAAAAGGTCCAGTAATCTTTCCTACTTCCATCAACCTTCCCCAAGATCGGTGAGAGAGATTCTCTGGTCAAGATGTCAGCAAACCTTTCTCCTCTTAATTCAAGCAAAACAAGGTCAAGATGGAAAAGCCTTACTTAAGATTTAAAGGAAACAACAGACAGAGAGGTTGTTAAATCATAGCCATCATTTTGGCCTGACCAAAACTCATTTTTTACAACAGAGACAGAAATCGTTGATAGAAATTGCTAGTGTCTTCTTGACTATAAGGTGGATGAAGTGTGCTTAAGAGTTGGGAAAAGCAGAGGCAAGAATGCTAATAAACACCAACAAGAGATCCTCAAATGCTTGCTGTATTTCAGTATCATACAGAAATCTCAAGGAAATATGATCTGAGTTATTTATAGAAAGAGGGAAATAACTATCTCCCCTCACCCCCCATGCCCCAGATATATGTCATAATATGCAAATTTGTTTTCTTGCCTTTCAGAATGGCATATGCATACAATGGAGCCACATCTGTTTTGTCTTCTCGGACAAAGTACCAGAGTAGAGAAGGAGATTTTAAAAACACAACCTCTTCAAAACAGTTTGATAAAAATGCTTATGTCTAAACAGCACTGCTACAAATCACAAATCCAAGTTTGTCAATAAAATATGAACTGTTCATAGAATGATTTCCATCAAGGTTCCACTGTAATTAACACAAGCTATTTTTAAAATTTGAATTGTAGCGTTGTTGATTTTATGGATGTAAATTTTCTTACATAGTTACGTACTAATCATTTTCTGTTGTGGCTTTCTTATAAAAAAAATAAACAGGTTTATTTACTAGGTATTTTAACTGATTGATTATAATACCTAAAATAGAGAATACTTTGTTAAATACAGGTTAGCCCATAGGTTTAGTATTTTCAAGTTAACCTTCCAAGTGGCTCAAATGATGAAAGCTTTGGATTTCTGTTCATTTAAAATAGAAAGTTGAATGCGCCTAAAAACTCAACTACTTGAAGCCAGCTCCCATCCCCAAACAGTAAGTACTTAATATTATTGTTTATTGCTCCTCCTTCTTTCTTGAAGAGGACCAATGACATCTTGAGGGTGGTGTCTTGACTTGCCATGAATTGGATGTTAAGTGCTTTAATAAGAGTCTGTTGAATTGAATTGAAGCTCATCACCCATTGGGGAGATCAGAATTTGTTCCAGAACTGTTCAGATTAAGTGGGGTAGAAGCTTATGGCTTATAGGCCATTTTTATTGTTCCTCACCACCTGTCAAAACATCGACACAGATTAGGATGGTTGAGAAGAAGGAACACTGAGAAGAAAATAAATGACCTTGGCCAAAATCTCACTGACACTTAAGTCTTACATTGTTTCAGGGGGCTTTTCTGATAGTCTGTATGGGTATAATGCTCAGGGTGAACTGTAATAAAAGAATAATAATAATAATGATAGCTAGCATTTATACAGCACTTAAGTTCTGCAAAGTAGATATTATCACCTACCTCAAAGGTTGTTGTGAGGATCAAATGAGATAATATTTGTAAAGTGTTCACCAGAGTGAGTGGCATGTAGGTGCTAGATAAATGGTTGTGACTTTACCTCATTTTATCCTCACAACAACCCCTGAGAAGTAGATGCTTATTAGTATTATTATTGTTCCCATTATAAAGATGAAGAAACTGAGGCAGACAGAGGTTAAGCGACTTCCCACAGTCACACAGCTAGTAAGTGTCTGAGCCTGGATTAGAATTTAGGTCTTTATTCCAAGTCCAGGGCTTTATCCCCTATACCACTTAGCTGTGGGGGTAAGAAATAATAGTCTAGTTAAGTCTCAATGAAGGTTCTAGAGGCTAAATTTAGGTTTGTACCCTTCTTCACCAAAATACAAAAACACTGGAACTCTGCGTTGGGGTCTTTTGTAACTGGGAATACATGACCAAACACTCTGAAGAGCTAGACTAACGAGATCACTGAAGCAAGATGTGAAGAAGGTAAGATTTCTAAATAAGACAAAATGATTGTTCAGTAAATGGACATTCAGATCATCTACTAGACTTAGTTCCATGCAGTGGTCAGAAATTTGTACAGGAGGTATTTGTGAATCATTTGATATGGAATAATGACCACAGCATGATTACACTTCTAGGGAGGAGAGGGAAAATATTAATTATATTCCTGAGTAGATCAAGTAAGACGTAGACAAATGAGTGGAGAAGACTCCATTTGAAAGGATGTTTTACAGAAACTGAGCCAACTCAGGATTGGGTGAAACATTCCTTCATAAAAAGAAAACTGGCTTAAAGCCACATGATAAAGAATAGGAGTCAAGGATCAGTTTGTGAGCCAACGACAATTTGTTTCTTCTGTGGTCTGCATAAAAGAGTACAAAGTGAAGTTTATTAATATGCAGGTGATGCTTAGCTCTCCTGAGTCCAGAAAAATCAAAACAAAACTTTGTGAAGGAAGGGAAATAAGTTAGACAAGCATTACTGGAGGCAACTAAATTAATGCTTTAGGGGAAAAGAATCTAAATTCTACAGTTACTGCTCTAAGCTATAAGCTAGCCCATGGAAGGTATCTGAAATTGTACTACTCTGTCATGACAGGTAAATACCAGATGAGTCCACCAGAACAGAGAATTAAGTTTGAATTTTGAAAAATATGAAACCTTGAAGCTTGAAAGATAAATTAAGACAAGCAAAAGGAATTACTTTAGTTATAGATCAAGTCTTCAATATATAAAACTCATTTTCCCTAAGTGGTGAAAAAAAATCCAAAAGTTAAAAGATAATCGGAAAATTTAAGATATAGTCAATAAAGAATTTCATGTAACTTAAATAGTTGTTAATAGAAGTTGAGGATTTCTCAAGTCTAGGTCATGAAGAACAATTATGTCCTCCCAAAAATGTCCTTTGATGTCACTGCAAGGGACAAAATATAGGCCTTAATATTTAACTATTATTGTGATCCATTAATGGCCAGTCACATTTTTATGTACCATATAGATAGATGGCTCACACTATTCTCTATAGCAAGAGAGGAAGTGGGAATACCTGATCACTGCCAAAAACATTTGAATTCTAACTTAATAATCTTCCATTTCACTGACTGAAATTTGCTAGTAAATTTCATAAGCAATGAGTACACAAAGGGAGTAAATATGTATCTGGAGCATACTGATACATAAATAAAAAACTATAAAGCAAGTCCTTGAGTAATTTTAAACAAACCGAGTATGAAATGTGAAATTCAGATTTACAAGTCCTTCATAAGTTTAATGGGGGTCATATAGTAGATTTAAAGCTGGAAGAGATCTTGGAGGTCACACAGTCCAACACTTCTGTTTTACAGATTTGGAACCTGAGAGACAGACAGTTGAAGTGATTAGAGCTCGTTTGATATTATATGGCAGAGCCAATATTTGAATCTAGGTTTTTAGATTCCAAATCCAGAGCTCTTTATACTATACCCTACTGGTAACAGATTATTTATCAAGAATTGCTATAGGATTCTTTAAAAAGTTTCTCTATTGCAAGGGTCATCAGCCTTTTAAAATGATATACCAAAATTCCCTTACCTCTTTCTTGCTGGGAGGGATGGGAGAGGAAGGAAGATAATGTTAAGTCCTAATTCTCTCCAGGTTGGTTGAAGAGAGGCGAGAAGGGCGACATGGCATAGCAATAGCTAAAGATGTTGGGCATACTGTTAGTTGTTTATCTCTTCTAGTAAATGAAAAGCTTGATTCAATTTCTACACAACTATTTCTATTCAACTGTTCTGGAACACATCTATCATATAAGGTGAAGTACACCAGTATAACATGTCTACTATGTGAAATCAGAGGCAGTTTCTTAAATAGGCATGGGGATAGGCCACAAAGAAGATGTTACAGAGGATAACTCCTGATTGTAATTCTAACATCATATCACAGTATTTGCTTGTTATGACAGTTAAGCATCTCCTTTTCTGAATTCTGAAATAAAAACTGAATAAAAAAAATTGATCTCTAAAGAAGTAGGTTAGATACATCCATAATAACTCAGGCCCAGTCACAGTGATGCAATGTAGGATTTTACTTGAGAGGTTTACAATTAAAGAGAAAATAAAATCAAAACCTCAACATAGCCATTTAATTGAAATGTCTCTGTTTCAAAATACACAAAGTATCTTTAAAAATGCTTGTTTTTTGAGTGTATAAAAAAATGCAAAAACAATTGATATGAATTTCCTGGCCTCTGACAAGTGTCATGCTGGCAAGAATAGAACATAATTTGTTGAAGTTAGATATTTTATAATACAGGATTGCTATTAAAATAAAAATATAAAAAGTAAATAACCACAAATATACATATGAATTTAGTAATGACTGTCTTTTCTAATCACATTATTAGGCAACTTAATTAGCCATTTAAAAAGTTATATTTTACTCACAAAATATCCAAAGTAGGTACTATGATACAGAAACAGCATTTCAGTATATGTTAAAATGAACGTACTCATTGTAAACATGCTTAAAATGTCTCAATGCTGCACACACTGATAGTTCTGGTTACAGTTCTTCCATAGAAAGTAACTCAGGCCTACAAACATATACATATACGTAGCTATATTTTGGTAATTTTAGATTTAAGTGTATATTAAAATAACCAGTCTAATATTTTAAGTATGCATTACTGTTATTTGGTTTAAAAGATTAACACAAACAGAATTGTGAAATTTAACACAAAGTGAGACACAAATTATGTAAGAATTTAAATTACAATATGAAAATGTCATTATTTTCAACAACAAAAACTCCTGTGTGGGTAAAAGGTGTTTAAAAACTGGCTTTTAAAAACTATTTGAAAAAAATACTAATACTCAAGTACCATTCTGAAGAAAAAATGTTTTATGCATTAATTAACAAGGTTTTTTTAAACAGCAAATCTTTTTTTTTTTTAACACTCTTATGCTTCAAAATACTGTTGGCTTATCAAGTTGGTTTTTCAATAAATACTTACATGCCATTAAATATACCTTTGTTCTCTGAATAAGCTTCCTTGTTACTGTGAGAAATACGATAAGGCATGAGAGTTAGAACCATGTGGGTAGATTACTGAAATTGGTATTGGCACCAGGGAGTCACATCTGACAAGGCATGGTAGTTATATATCAGAAGAGTCACTCCAGTCAGTTACAGTTACTAAGCTGCTTTTTAATGTACTTGTATCAGCTTCTTGAAGTCCTGTTAATAAAAAGATCAAAGATAAAGAAGACAATTAAATAAATACCAGTAAAAAGCTAGTTTTTTATTCTACCTCTTCAGAGAAAATGAAGTGAAAATTATTTCAGTGATTGAATTTATGTTGAATCCAAGAATATCTGTTTTGGAGGGGGGTTTTTTTGTTTTTGCCTTTTTTTTTCAATTGGCTACAAAGGTTTAAAAATACCCAAATACTCAAATGGAACTTTATCTTATACATATGGAAATTCCCTCTATCAAAAGAGATGGTAAGAAGATATGCATGTATTTCCAAGTCTCTACTCCAGTATTCTATAATTGTGGATGGTTAAGAAAAAGGGTTACCCAAATAAACTAGTGGTTAAGAGTAGATTTTTCTAAGTTACTATATTTCATCTTAGAGTAATTTCCACACTATTGTGAATCAGAGCAATGGTTCTGGGCAGGAAATGCCGCAGGGATTAATAACATGCTTCCACTTAACCTTTTCAACGAAAGGAAAAATTCTAAGAAAACAAAAATGATTCTCAACAGCAGCCAAACTGGCTAGTCTACAGGTGGAAATGTAAGACAGCAAAAATCATCTCAGTCAACAATAAGAATTTCAAGTTT